GTCAGGAAGATGGGCCTAGGTGAGGGGCAGGGGAGGTGGGGGAGGTGGGGTCAGGACCAGGACCATGCAAATGAGGTCAGGCGGCACCAGACAGACAGAAAGGCTGAGGCCAGCAGGTGGGGCGCCAGCGGGGGGTCAGGCCTCCCCTGGAGGAGGCGGCTTCAGTGAGGGGGGGACCCTTGTGCCAGGTGGGGATTAGGGCTGACACCCGCTGTCAGGTTGGCGCTGACGGATCACCGCTGCTGGGCGCACAAAGGCTGCTCTGTGCAGGCACGAGTGTGTCCCCGTCCGTCAGAGGCAGCTCATGCCGGGTGGGGGTGGGGGGCAGGCCCGCAGCTTCAGCTTCTCCACAACTGGCCTGAGGCAGCAACAAGGTGGGTCAAGGGACAGTCCCTCTATCATGGTTTCGAGGTCAGTCCCGGGAGGGCCTGTGCCCAGAGCTGGGCCTGACTTGGGACCCAGGCCACTCACTCAGACAGACATGCACAGCAAGTCACTGGAAACTGGGCACGCTCGGCCACCCTGACCCCAGCCCCACCGTCATGTTTGCTGGGAGGCAACGGTCACACAGAAGGCTCTGCCGGCCACATCGCGGCCCTGGGACTGACGGGTCCTGCAGGAGACTCGACATGTGCGCCTCCCGGCCTCCTCCCTCATCGCCCTGCTGGCGGCTCTGTGCACCCTCGTCACTCCCTGAGACCGTGCTGCAGGCCCCAGCACACGGCGCAGTTCATGATCCCCGATCGAAGGAGGGAATGACTCCATGTCCACAGCACTCCCATCACGTACCGCACACGCCGCGCACGCACGCACGCACACACGCACACGTACGCACTCACATCACGTACCGCACACGCCGCGCACGCACGCACGCACACACGCACACGTACGCACTCCCATCACGTACCGCACACGCCGCGCACGCACGCACGCACACACGCACACGTACGCACTCACATCACGTACCGCACACGCCGCGCACGCACGCACGCACACACGCACACGTACGCACTCCCATCACGTACCGCACACGCCGCGCACGCACGCACGCACACACGCACACGTACGCACTCCCATCACGTACCGCACACGCCGCGCACGCACGCACGCACACGTACGCACTCACATCACGTACCGCACACGCCGCACACGCACGCACGCACACACGCACACGTACGCACTCACATCACGTACCGCGCACGCCACGCACACACGCACACGCACGCACTCACATCACGTACCGCACACACCGCGCACGCACGCACACACGCACACGTACGCACTCACATCACGTACCACGCACGCCGCGCACACACGCACACGTACGCACTCACATCACGTACCGCACACGCTGCACACGCACACACACCACACACCGCACATGCTGCGTATGTGCACACCACACACGTCACACTCACGCCACGGTCCGCACACACACCACACCATCCTCTCTCGGTTGAGCATCCTCCGGCCTGAATACGGTGTTGGGACCTTCAGTGGGTCACTGCAGGGTCACTGCCATGTCCTCCGCGTGGCCGCCTCTCGGTCCCTAGGTGCCCGGCAGGGCCTCCTGCCGTCACATCTGTGGGTCCCGACCGCTGAGCCCACCTGTCCCCACACCCCTCCCTCCTCTTCTCCCTTCTAAACCTCTGGTCAGCCTGTCCCCCAAACCTCGGCGCCCCCCACCCGAGACAGCTCTTGGGCGAGCCTGCTCCTCTGCTGCGGACCAGGCCCTGCGCGTGCTGCTGACCTCGGCGGCCCTCCCGTCATTGTTACGGAACGTCGCCCATCAGTGTCCGCACGTGCCGGCCAGACGGTAGGACCCTGGAAACTGTCACAGAACCAGCCTGGTCCCTGCCCCATCTTTGGAGGACTGGACGGGTGTTTGGAGGGGAGGCAGAATGGATCCCCAAAGGACAACATGATGCGATTTCTGGGTTTCCATAGTAACTTCAACATCCCTGCTATTCTCAGGGATCAGAGGGTTCGAGTGTAAACTGAGGCAATGTTCTCTTTTTCTCTTTTCCTTTTTGGTGGGCGGGGATGTTCAATTCTCCTTCAGTCCAGCTGGTCAGGGCCAAAGTGAGGTTAGAGCCCAGCTCCCATGCTGCCACTGTCCACCGGCGCTGAGGCCAGAAGCCAGAAAAAGACCCCACGGGCCCTTCAGCCTGCTGGGCCCTTCCATAGTCCAGCTGTGTCACCCTCATCTCTGCGCCCTGCCCCGAGGACGCCAGCACTGTCCTGGCTCCTCCCCGTGGACAAGAGGAAGGACAGCCGCATTCAGGTCGCACAGCCCCTGTGACATCTTCCCCGAGGACCCGGCTCCGCTGTCGCCACCGCTGTTTGGGACTGACGTCAGCCTCGTCTGTCCCAGGGGCAGGGGTCAGACTTAGTCCACTGGGTCCTCACAGGAAACCGAGACCAAAAGGAAAAAGACAGAAGGGTCCGGAACCCACGAGGCACCTGCAGCCGGCGCAGGCGTCGGTGTGGGGTGGGCAAGGGCAGCGGAGCTGGGCGATGGCCACCTGGGAGGGGGTTCTGGCCCTGGGCTTCAGGTAGAGCTGGGCGACGATCAGAGTCTGCTGGGTAGATGTGTCCCCGAGGGCGGAGACCCTGCCGTGGGCTCCCAGCAACCCTCCTGCCCAAGAGGGGCCCTGTGTGCTGCCGGCCGGGAGGCATGGCCACCGGGTGGGGAGTGCTGGCCCTCTCGGCTCCTGGGCCCCTGCTAAGAGGTGACACAGACCGAGAGGCCCAGAGAGGACGCTGTCCCTCCCCCCTGACGCGCGAAGCCTGCAGGGTGCGTGTCACACCGACAGCCCCCGCGGGCAGACGTGGCGCCAAGCCCAGGGTCAAGAAGGGGGGACCCGCTGAGTTCAGAGACCCCGTCCCCACGTGCGGCGAGGGGCCAGGGACAGTCGAGGAGGAGCTGGGGCAGCACAGACAAAGGTCCGGAGCGAGGAGGGGACGGAGGGCTCACTAGGTCTCCACCTTGTCACCGTGGGGACAGCGGCCCCTGTAGCTGGTCTGACCCTGATGCGGGCTCTGAAGTGAAAGCAGCCCCCGAGTCCACCAACAAGGAAAAGCGGGCCGGTCCCACAAGACCCAAGAGAAACACGATGTCAAGCTGCTCTGACCCACCGAGGGATCCATTTGCCCCTTGAACCCTCAGCCCTCCGGCCCCAGACACTGAGAGCCCACATGTACCCCAAACGGCAGCAGCCTCAGCCTTTGGGAGGGTGGTCTGTGAAAGAGGGTCCTCTGACCCTGAGTGGGGTGACATGCTGTCAGGAGTCAGGGGGCCGGGTGACCTGACTTCCCTGGAGCCCACTCGGCTTGTCCGGACGGCCAGCAGGGCGGGCAGCCCCCCGCCAGCAGTAATTGAAAGGAGCAGATGAGAGGGGCGTGTGTCCCCCACCACCCCGCCCGTGGGGGCTGCCGAGCTCCGAGAACTAATCAAGTTACAGACGGCCTCCCTGCCCCGGGGGCTGGCCAGGGAGGGCCGAGTCACACTGATCCACTGCGAGTGTCTTGATGTGCAGCAACAGCTTAGCGGGGCTCGGGTTTCCCGGCCTTGGCTATATTTATCCCTGGTTCCGTGCCAGCGGGGAGGGTTTAAATGGCACCCAGCAGTTGGCGTGAGGGGCTGCAGGCGTGCGGGGGCCAGCAGCAGGAGCAAGCTTCTTCTGACCCCATGGAGCTGTACGAGACGCCCCCCTACTTCTACCAGGAGCCCCACTTCTGCGACGGGGACAGCTACCTGCCCGTCCACCTGCAGGGCTTCGAGCCCCCAGGCTACGAGCGGGCCGAGCTTGGCCTGGGTCCCGAGGCCCGTGGGCCCCTTGAAGACCAGGGTCTGGGGCCACCCGAGCCCTGCCCGGGCCAGTGCCTGCCGTGGGCGTGCAAGGCGTGCAAGAGGAAGTCGGTGTCGGTGGACCGGCGGCGGGCGGCCACACTGCGGGAGAAGCGCCGGCTGAAGAAGGTGAACGAGGCCTTCGAGGCCCTGAAGCGGAGCGCGCTGCCCAACCCCAGCCAGCGGCTGCCCAAGGTCGAGATCCTGCGCAGTGCCATCCAGTACATCGAGCGCCTGCAGGCTCTGCTGCGCGCCCTCAACCAGGAGGAGCGCGGCCTCCGCTGCCGGGGCGCCAGCGGCCAGCCCGCGGCGGTGAGTGGCCCCGGCCCCCGGGGCCCAGCAGGCTGTGTGGCGAGCGCCTGAGTCCCCGTGTCCTTTCCAGACAAGACAGAGGCCGCGGGGGGGCGGGGGGCGGGGGGGGCGGCAGAGCACGGAAGGGGCCTGGCCAGCGCCAGCCGTGTGGGGGCGACGGTGACCGCAGTGCCTGGGGACAGGCCCACCTGGCCGGCCCGAGACCCCAGCCCCTAGCCGTGGGCCAAGAACCCCAAGCCCTTAGGCCCGTGCCCAGCGAGCCAGAGGCCGCGCCAGGGTGGAGGCCAGGGCAGGCCAGGAAGCAGGGGCTCCGCGGTCGACTGTTACGGGTCCAGGCTGGGGCAGCCTGGGCGGCCACCTTCTCCCAGTGCCCACGAGGGGGCTCCTGCCCACTGTCCACAGAGGGCACCTCGGACGTGCTCTGACCTCCCTTCTGCGTCTTACAGGTGTCCAGCGCCTCCTGCAGCCCAGAGTGGAGCAGTGCACTGGACTTTGGCCCCAGCCCTGGGGGTAAGTGAGGCCGGACCCCGGTGCCCTAGGCTCGAACCCCTCAGCTGTCCCCAGGCCCAGTCTCCTCCCCATGGCCCCTCCAGGGACCTGCCGACAGCGGACGGGGTGGCCCTGTGCCTCCCTGAAGTCTTGACCAGCACAGAGGTCCTGCCTGCTGCTGCCCCCCCCCGCCCTGCTGGTGCTGACCTTCTCCCCGAGGAGGAGACTGTCCCTGTCCCAGGGGCCCCTGGGAACCGCTGAGTCAGAGCCCCTCACCGGGCCAGCGAAGGACAGCCCGGGCCCAATGCCACCTACAGCAGCCAGAACAGTGGCCTCAGACCCATGGCTGCTGCGGAGCTTGGGGGCCACGTGCCCCGTGGGGAACGGCTCAGGCGACAGCAGGACCTGAGTCTGCTCAGCCGACTGTCCTGGCACCCCAGGCCTCACCCCGTGAACTGCCCACTAACACCTGCCCTCTCTCCCTGCAGACCATCTGCTCACAGCCGACCCCACAGACACCCACAACCTGCACTCGCTCAGCTCCATCGTGGACGGCATGACCGTGGAGGACGTCTCTGCGGCTTTCCCAGACGAATCCATGCCCAACTGAGATCGTGTGCCAGGCCGGGTGCCCGGGAGGGCCCCAAGCCGGCCACGGATGCCACCATGTCTGCAGCAGAGGCCTCCTGCCCGGGGCGGCCACAAGCCAGCCCACCCCCTCCTCGTCCAAGTAAGGTTAACCCACCACCCAGAGAGGGAACGCACGCTCTCACTCGGCCAGCTCCTCAGGGCTCAGGCGCGCATCTCCAGGGAGAGGAAGCGGGGCTCAGCGCACCCCTCGGGCACCCGTGTCTGCCCAGACGAGCCGAGCACACCTGCTGTCCCTGTCCCCTCCCGCTGCCAGTGGCTGGGCTGGGCCTGCCCTGAGCTGGGAGAGAACAGGACGTCGCTCTGTTCTCAAGTCCCTGGGGGCCAAGCTTCTGCAGAGAACACTGGGAACCTTCCCGCGGCTTTATGTTTTGTTCCGTTTTGTGTTTGTGTGTTGTTTGTGAAACTGCCATCTGACCAAGGTCTCCTGTGCGAAGTTGCCAGGGACAGGTGGGGGGGGCAGGGACTCTTGGGGTGATTTCTTTGGTTAACTAAGCATCGTGTGGTTTTGCCATTGTTTTGTATTTTTTTCTAACTTATTTGGATTTCCTTTTTTAAAAAATGAATAAAGACTGGGTGCTAGAACAGTGTCCGAGATGATGGGGTGGGGGCTGCTGCACCCGCATCCCCCCCAGTCCAGACACACCCAGGGATGGCGTCCGAGGGCCAGAGCGGCTGGGGCCCTGGGACGCCAGGTCCACAGAACCCTGTGGGACACGTGGGAAAACCCGCCGCCGAGCGCTCACCACACCGATTCTCACATCCCACAGGCCCTGCCGTTGACTGGGCAGGTCGCGGCCCGTGGCCCACGGCCCACGGCCCCAGGCAGGGGCACCTGTGGGATCCCCTCCCTCATCCCGCCTCGTCTCTGGCGTGACACCACCCGGAGCCCCGTAGGGAGGTGGGGGGCGACTGAATCAGGCTGGCTGGGGTCAGACACTGCCACTTCCCTGCGGCCAGCCAGCGTGTCCCCTGCCACACCCTCCCATCCCTCCAGACTGCAGGGAGTCTGGCCCCTGCCGACCACTCAGAAGAGAAGGCAGCTCTGCTGAGGCCGAGGGGAGGGGCTCACAAGGACAATGCAGGGGTCCCCTCCAGACGGGAAGCTGCTTTCCGAAGGCTGGCTCTGAGGGGAGAGGCAGGTGGAGAACAGGGAGCGAAGGTCTGGGGCAGAGACCACATAGGATTAAGTGGAAAGCACCAGGGTCAGAATCTAAACGGACCCTCGACAGCCACCAGAGACTAATTCCAAGTGCTTCGGGCTCAGCTGTCAGATGCTGCAAGTTGCCGGTTTCAGAGGCACTGCCAAAGCTGAGACGTCTGGACAAAGCCTGGTCCCGTGGGCCCTCACCACGGTTACTCACCAGACGCAGCTGGGCCATGTTCCCAGCCCCCGCTTGACTTGCTCCTGAGCGGGGCTCAACAGGCAGCCCCCAGGGCTCCCCAGAAATTCTGCAGAGGGAACAGGGGGAGGGGCTCAGAGCAGGCTCAGAAGCCGGGAGGGCTGCTCATCTGGAAAACCCAGTCCCACTCTCCCTGATGGCTGCTCAGGTCCATGTCCTCTGTCTGGCACCCCCAAACCCCGACACAGTCCCACTGCCTCAGCTGCCCCCTTGCTAGGGGCTCGCGTCCACTGAGGGGCTGGTAGGCTCTGGGGCTGCTGGGCACATTCCTTATCCCTCCTCAGCTGCCATGTCCATTGGAAACTGCGGTCCATATTCATAACTTGGTGAGAATGGACAGTGCTCAGAGATGGCCATTTAGGTCAGGGGTGCCGGCTACGGTCAGGCCTGCCCTTCGTCAGCTCCTTTGTTCCCCAGGTCCTCACGTCTCCCCCCAGGGAGAAAGAGCTGCTGGGACCGCACGGGCGTGAGGGGAAACCGCCAGGTGGGGGCAGAAACCATCCTCAAAGCACGGGGACTTTCCTAGCTTAGCAAGAGCTTAGCCTTCGCAATTAAATTACAGATGAGGGTTAATGAGCACTGAGTGGTCGGTCGTTCTTTAGGGAAAGGCGCTTCAGTTCAGATCTCCAGTGGAAGCACCTGCAGCGAAGCGAACCGGGGTAATCAAAAGCTGCCGCCAGGGAACCCCACAGGGAAAGATAAGAATGACTCGAAATTGACACAGCAAGCGTCAGTGTGTAAACAGGAAGTCCGTGGAGAGTGTCGACAATTAGCGCGCCTTGCGGAATGCCTAAGGTACGGTTCGCCGATGCCGACAAATACTCTTAGGTACCCGACTTCTCAAAGTGATCTGTTTGGCAGCTGAAAAGCCGCAGTGCTGCAGGTGCAGCAGGTGCTGGGCCACATGGAGGAGGAGGTGGGAGGGACGACCGAGGGCGTTTCACAGGTGGAACGCAGTTCCCAGCTCATCAGCCCATTTGCTTCTCTGAATTCCTGGCTTCCGGGCCTCAGCCCAGGGCGGAGACCCCCGGAAGTGAGCTCAAGCTCAGGAGGGCTTTGGGTTGGGCTGGGGTCTTGGCTAAGGAGGCATGGCCCAGGCCAAAGGGAGACCCCAACCTTCACCCCATGGCGATGCTGGCCATACCTCCCCCTCAGCCACAGGCACCGACCAGAAGCGTGGAACCTCACTGGGACGGGCAAAAGGAGGTGGCCCAGGAAAGAAACATAGATCCCTTTCTTCCCCATGAATGTCACAGAAATGTGATGTTCGGGTCTCATCTCAAGCTCAGCATGTCCAAAACGGAACCCACATCAGCCTGCTCCTTCTGCCTCTCCCTTCCCGCTGGACAGCGGCACTGGGGGACTGCAGATTTTCTGCATTCCTTCAGATTCTCGTAGCCGGCGGATCACCACACCGGGCCGTCTCGCCGTGATCATGGAGAGAATGGGAAGGGCCTCCAGAGGCTCGGGCACCAGGCCACGCCTCCCTCGCCTGCGTGCCCTCCCTTGATGTGCTCCCATGTCGTCCTCCGTGCCAAGGATGCTGCCATCCCAGACTGTCCAGGACGCAGTCAGCCTCAGAGGAGAGGAGATCGGGGCGTGTGCCACTCGCAGGGTCAGAGGCCCTATCTAAATACGTGTCGTAGTGAAGGACAGGGCACTGCAGTCAGGGCCTGGCTCTGGGGTCCCCACCTGCCTCTCGCCAGCTGAGCACATTCTGCACACGAGCGGACACGCTAAGCCAGCATAGAGCAGCGCCCGGCACATGCCAGTTCCCAGTGAGTTTCACTCTCACTAAATACTAACCCTTATAAAACCCGTCTGGCAGAGGCTGGCTTGCTTATTCAGTCCAGGCTGCACATCGAGGGGTAGAGAGGGCACAAGGCTGACCCAAGGGTGGGACTCAGACAGCATCTCAGCTGGCAGAGAGCTGGGGCAAAGCGTGGCCGCCGCTAATTCTGCTGGGTATAGCTAGGGACGGCTAGGAACACCTCCCAGGTGGTGCACGACAGGGTCTGGGAGTTGCCGTCAGTGCTGGGCTTCGGCAGACACGGAGTTGCTGAGCGGGATGGACTTGGGACGGGGGTGGGGACAGGGGGCCCTGCAGCTTCCTATGCCACGCCGACCCAGAGCTGGGGGGATGAGGGGGCGCTGGAGCAGGTGAGCAGAGCTGCTGGGCCACGGGCAGCCCCAGCGGCCGCCTCCCCAGCACTCCACACCTGTGCGAGGGGCATTAAACTCCACTTTCACTGCCCTGAGGGCTGTGGAGGGAGCTGGACATGCCAGGTGAGCTCGAAACACCAGAGCCACATGCAGGGCGTCTCAAAACCAGCTTGTTTATTGGCACGTACACACGCACGCTCACCCACACACCTGTTCCTGCTGCACTGAGCCAGGACGGCACTGAGGAGGGGCCTGGCAAGGACAGGGGGCCGGTGAGGGGCTCAGGCCACTGGTGACTCTCCAAGTACACTGGCCACGAGGCGACAGATATACCAGGACGGCAGCCTTTGGTCACCTCCATGCAATCCCAAGATGCCCTGAGGGGACCCGGGTCCCACCAGCTGCTGCGTTATGACACGACCACCGTGCAGGGCTCAGGTGCAGAGAAGGGGCTCGCCCATCGAGTCCCCTGATGAAGCCAGATGGCGTCCTGGTCCCTAACTCCACCATCTCAGGAACCTGGGTTTTCCCCATGATCTGACTGCCCCCCGCCCAGGCTCAGGGCATTTCTCACCACCGACTCATTTTCTGCTCAACCCCTCCTGCCCCCTTTGCAGTGGCCTGATCAATAGGGAGGGCAGGGGACCGCGAGAGACGGCATGACACGTGGTGGCTCTGCCTGCACCTGGGGACCTCTCCTCCACCGAAAAGTGGCCAAGGGCTCTGGACCCTGGCACTGCCCCAGGCTCCATCTCTCCCGGACGGGGTGCTCTGAGCCATTACGCCACCTGCTCGCCCGCCCTGCTCAGAACCTCAGTCGATCAGGTTGCAAACCAGCTGCTCAGCCCCCCTCCAGGAAACATGCTGCACACACTACGATGACGCCCGGGCTTCCGCCCGCTCATCCTGAACTTGGGTCCCAAAGCCGCCCAGGCACCTCGGCAGGGTGAGGAAATGCGTGAAGCAGAGATTTCTTGGGAATGTTATTCCTAGCGAACCAGGAACTGCGGCCCCGGCTGCAGCCGCCACCGTGCTGGCTGCTGGGGAAACGAAGTGACGTGGCGGAAGCTGGCGGGTCTCTGAGCTCTCGGAGGAGGCAGTCCCTGCCCAGCACGGGAGCCCCAAGCAACGTGGGGGGCTCTGGGCGTGAGCAGGAGGCGCCGGCCTCACTGACACTCAGTCACCTGGCCTGGGCCTGACCCACAGACAGGAAAGCTTTGCTTTCTCCCACGGGGGTCGGGGAAGGGTGCCTCAGTCAACCACCCCAAAGCTGGTTCCGAGGTCCATGTACATGTGTGTAAGCCGCTCAGCAGGCTGCTCCTGGGGGTGCCACAGCATGGGCGCGGGGACCAGGGGCGGGGTGCTGGGAGCAGCTGGCAGTGCACAGCCGATCAGCCCCAGAGCGAAGACGCACAGTCCCTGTACCCACCCAGCAGCGGGGCCACCCCACAGCCCTTTGGGCTTAAGGCACCACAGGCCGCTGTCCCCACCTCCCGTGGCCCTGCCTGCCTATGGAGTGGAGCGCTTCCCTTCCCTCCTCCCCAGCCTGAGGCCCCTGTCCCTCTCAAACGCACAGTGGGCACGGTCGTCCCACTCAGCCAGTGCCTGGAGTGTCCTGGTCAGCCTCCCTCTCCTCAGCCTCGCCATCCTGGGCAGAGGGGCCTGCTGCTCCCCGCCAGCCCCAGGTGGTGCTGGAGGCAGCTGTGGGGTGCTCCAGGGAAGAAGAATGCTGAGGGGTGCCCACACCAGACGCAGGCTGTTTGGCACAGGATGGGGACGGGGACAGGGACCAGAAGGCTAGACCGGCCCACAAGGCACCGTCTGACATCTTTCTCTTCCCCAGTGGGTGGCAGTCTAGGCCCACCAGGTCCAGGAGCTGAGGGGGAGGTCACACCCACCCAGAGGTGGCCGCTGTCCCTCCCACAGAATTTGCACAGCACTAGATGGCCGGCCACGTCCTCAGACGTACAGGACAGCGGGGTCTCAGGGCGCCGAGTCGGAGGGCGGGAACACTCCGTCCTCTGGGGCCACAGGAGTCACAGCAGACTGGGGCCGCGGCGGGGACGCGCTAGTCCCGGAAGGCGGAGAGCATGTGTCCGTAGAGATAGTGGGACCGAGCTGGGGAGAGAGGCCAGCGCTGAGCCGGGCGGCGCGGGAGGCGGGGCTGCAGGGGACCTGCCGGTGACAGCCGGTGACAGCCCAGCCGGGCGCCGGCGATGGGGGGGGAAGGGCCGGGTGCAGGGGGCCAGGCAGGGGGCGGCAGGGGCGGGGTGGGGGCCCCCGCTCGGGGCCTTCCTGGGCACAGGAAGCGAGCTCACCCTTCCACTCCCAGCCCCCTCATCTCAGAGTCAGGGTGGGAGGCAGGGCCTGGCAGGGCGGAAGGGGTACCTCAGCACACAGAGATCCCGCCATGACACTTTCTACACGGTCCTGGACACGTGTCACTCTACAATGCCACTCACAGCGTCTCTCACCTTCAGGCTCGACCTTCCTCGCGGGCGGGGGCGCGGACACCAGCATGCCCCCCGGGAGTTCCCGCGGCCGGAAGCGCTTCCTCCAGGACGGCGCGCGGCGGAACACCCTGTCGTCCCCCTGCGCAGGGACACAGCAGAGATGCCACCAGCCCCCGCCCCTGCCCTTTTGGAAAGAAGGGGGCAAACGCCTGGCCCTCAGCTTTTCCGCCTGTGAAATGAACCTGCTGAGGTGGGTGACTACTCTGTGACTCTGAACGCTCCGGCTCGGGCTGGAGGGTCCCCTCTGATGGCATGTCCCCAACCTCTCCAACTTGGCTTCGGATGCCCGGCGACCTTCCAAGTACCCCTCTTCTCAGTCCCATCCTGGGACTGGTCACCAGGCAGCGCTCCGCTCCCCGTCCACTCTTGAGGGGGCCTCAGGGTGGGTGGGGAGTCAGGACACCGGGCAACAGGACCCTTGAAGAGTATGACCCGTCTCCTCCTCAGGCCGCACACCCTGACAGGACCAGGGGACAACGCCGTGTGGTGGCCGGGCAGGCGGCTGTGCTGGGCAACCCCAGCTGTCCACCCCTCCCCAGTGCCAGCCAAATCCGCAAAATTACGGAAGGTGCGGGCCCTGCGCACACAGGACGCACACAAGATGCGCTGTGCACGGACCCCCCACGGAGCCCACGCCGCACCCCCCAGACTCCGCTCCTCCCCCCTCACCACAGAGCGCTGGCACCCTGCCTCGCAGCCCGAAGCCCCTGCGCCTGCACCCTCAGACTGCTCTGGGCAGACGGCCCAGGAACGGGGGACTCTAAGCCACTACTGCTGCCTGGCTCCTTGGGGCCTATGGCCCTGAGTGGGCCCAGTGCCCCTCTCCAGCCCTAGCCCTCCGCTGGACCTGTGGGCCGAGCAGCATTGTACGCACACCTGAGATTACGTCACTAATCTCTCTCCCCGTCAAAGTCTGTGTCCCTGGGACAGAGACTGAGATCGTCCCTCAGCCCCCGAGTCGTGCCCGGGACACTGCGGGCGCCGGAGCAGCCGTCTCAGCTCCGCGGTGGGGCTTTCCAGGCAGGTGCCTTGTCCGTGAGTACCAGGAACTTGCCTCATCTCTGTCCTCCCCATAACGGAGCCCGCGCCCCCCCATCCCCACCTTCTGCCAGCCCTAAGGGTGTCCCTGCCCCTCCCACCCCCTCAGCCAGGGACAGCCCTGCCCTGCCCCCTGCCCTTGCACCGTGAAGGTGGACTGGACACTGAGGGGAAACGGGAGCCAGAGTCGCAGAGACGGCTGGAGGGTGCTGGAGGGCGGGACGGGAGGGGCCTCCCGGGGCCCACTCTGTGCCCACACATGCCACCCACTCCCAGACCTGATGAAGCTCCTGCGAGACAGTCTTCTTCAGCCTGGCACCTCAGTGCACCCCAGAAGTCCCCTGGTGCCCCCGGCCTGGTGTCGCCTACTCAGCAGCTCTACTCCAGTGCCTGAGGCGTGACCGGGTGGCCGGCTTCGCACGCCTCCAGGAGGCATAGGGACCAGGTGCACTTTTGCTCCAGTCCTGCTCTGCCACACATCAGCCTGTGACAACAGCTAGGGTTCCTCACCGCCAAATGCCACAATGCCCTGTCACACAGATGGCTGCGAGCACAGAGTGAGCTGTCACTCACCACCACCAGGCCTGGCCCGGGGGAGGCCTGTGAAGACACTTCTGTGAGGTGGAGGGATGAGCAGCTTAGACGTCGGAAGGGGGCACAGCGAGATGCACGGGGGGCCCTCCCCCCGACGGCATCGGAGACGCAGGGTGAGTGGGGGCCCACGCAGGGGCACAAGGGAACCAGGGTCCCTGAGGTGGGGTTCTGCAGTCCGTGCCCCAGACCGGAGCATGCACACGGCCGTGTGCACCTGTTAGCAACGTCCGACTCCAAACTGTCTCTGGGGAAGAGGCCCCACCAGCTCTGGGTGCTCCCGAGTATGTCCTGTCTGTGGGACGGAGGAGCGGCCCACGGAGGCGGCTCAGCCCACATGAGAGGGGGCACTGTGGCTGTCCCAGGGGCCAGCGCTGTCAGCAGAGGCACTGTGGGGCAGCAGGAGAAGGGGAAGCGACACAGGAAATGGGGACCAGAGCACACACAGAGCAGCTAAGACGGAACAATCTGGGCTCCTTTCGAACTTGTTTGGAGCCAAGGAGCTAAGGCAGACGTGTCGGGAAGGGCCAGGGAAGGGCCAGCAAGGCTGGGGACCAGAGGCTGAATGGGCAGGCGGCGGGGCAGAGGGGCCGTGTTCTCAGGAAGCAGGTGCATCTGGCACGTGTGCCTGAGGGAGCGTCAGAGTCTCCTACCACATGCGGCCTGGCTCGGGGCCAGCCTGACCAGACCTGACGCCAGGCGCTGCTTCCAGCAACAAGGCTGTGGGAGGGCCCTTCGCTTGGTACCCGGGCAAACGCAAGCACGGGAGGGGCTCGTGCCGCGCCCAGTGCTCAGCAGCGTCCACGACAGAGTGAGCGGCAAGCCCATCACTTAGCGAGGTCAGCCTCACGTCTGCCTGCAAGCAGCCACCCGGCTACAGGGCCTGGGATCTCGACGAGCAGGCTGGGGACATGCTGTGCCGATGGCACAGAAGGGACAGGGCCTGAGAGATGAAGAGAAAGGTCTGATCCCAGAGAGGTGGCCCTTGGGGACACCGTGGACCCTGCATGGCCAGGGGCGGGCACAGAGCCGGGAGGAGGTACAGGGACAACACACACCGCCTCCAGCTCTTGTCTGAGCGAGCCTTTTCACCGAGACATCTCCAGCCACTGCAGGGCCGGGCCCTGCCCTGGCGTCAGCCCCTCCCTCCTGCCCATGGCCCTGCCACCATCTACCCAAGGAAAGCAGAACCCGTGACCTTCAATCCAGTGAACTGACAATGACCGAACCCCGAGGGCCCCAAATCATGGGCACTCACGTCATCCAGCTTCCGGTCTGTGCCCAAAGCCAAGAGGTTGTTGAACTCTCTCTCCATCACCTGGCGAGCCTGGAATCCACCGGGGAAGAGAGGCGGAGCTGTAGTTAGGGACCTCGGTGCCATCTGTCACCTGTTCTCTAGGGGTCCGAAGGCAGAATCTAACGCAGTAACTGATCTGCTCCTTCAAGCAAACCTTAGGGTCCTTAAATGTCAACTGTAAACCTTAGAGCTCTTTCACATGAAGCAAATTAGACAACTGTCACTTTTTAAAAAGTAGGACCACAGGACACGCGGGTAGACAGGCTTCAGCCACATGTGTTGTCCATAAGTGAAAATCATGCCTTTCTGTGGGGACAAAGAGCAAGCAGGCCGTCGCAAATAGGGATTTAATTTATTCAGGGAAAAGAAACATGTTTCCTAAAGCTGAACACAAACAACTTAACCCTGGAAGGCTCCTCAGTCACGGGCTTGGCGGCCCGTGGGCTGCGTGGCACGTTGGCCCCCGGGAGCTCAGCCTGGGAGGCCTGGGACGGGCCAGAGACGGGAAAGCTTCTAAAACTGCCGCCAGATCCTTTCGCCCATTCCCAACGACGCGTTCCGAACCGGGGCGGACCCCCTGCCCCTAACTGCTAAGCGACATGAAGGGGCCAGGAAAATACGGACGGTCGGACGGCAGCAGAGGGGCCCAGCCCCTGGGCCCGGGTGAGCCGCTGCCCGCAGAAACGCAGACAGAAGGCAAAACGAAGCCCGTTCCCGGGGAAGACGCCCCCCACGCCATTCAGCAAGGACGGTCCTCGCCGTACTGGGGCCGTGATGGCTTTATAAACGGCCAGGAAGGAGAAGCAGAGTGAACGTGCGCGTGGCCAGACGGCACTCGGGGCACGAGATGGGCCGCGGAGCGTGGGCGGTGCAGGGAAGGCACCTGGGGGGCGGAGAACGGGCGTCTGCGCCATCCACAGGGGTCGGGGAGGGGCCCTGGCCGCGTGCGCTGCCGTCACCCCCAAAGGCCATCGCGCCACCCGGGATCACGAGGCCGCAGTCCCGCCCTCGCACAAGCCCGGTGCTTCTGCTCCCGGGACAGGCCCTGCGGCTCCGGGGCTGAAGTGCGAGAGACTGGACAGCCACGTGCAGTGTGGCCAGCCGAGAAGAGCGAGGGCTGAGATTAGGCTGCTCCGTCGGACGAGGCAAGACGGAGGCCCAGAGGCAGCAGAATCAGAGCTCGTGAAATTACAGACGCTGAGAACCGGTGGGATGTGAACATCGTCCCCGAACCCCGCAGATGGGCCGGGGGCAGTCCCCTGCCCAGGAGCGCCTGCCGCGCATGTACAGGGTCAGGCGGCACTGCACACAGCAGGTGGCCCCTCTGGAGTTAGAAGGGCCGAGCACGGGGGGCTCCAGCGAACTGAGATGCGTTCTTGGGTGACAGCCCCATAGTTAAGGGGACGTTTAATCCTCAGAGCTGGTGCCAGGGAGACACAGGCCACCAAGCAGAGGCTCGGGGCTCAGCTACTGGATCGATTCGGTTTCTCAGGCCTGGGCCTGGGGACAGAGCCCTAAGGTGGGAGACGAAGGAGATGTGGACTCTGTGGTCCCCTCGGGGACAGGCCCCGGAGGAACCCCCCACAACCCCCAGGCCTGTGCATGAGGGCGGGGCCGGGGCAGTACGGTGAGGAGCCCACCTGCGTGTTCTGCGTGGGGATCTGCAAGGCCAGGGCCAGCGCGCTGTGGTCGAAGTTCTCATCCAGGGCCAGCAGGGCGCCGTGGACGCCGCTCTCGTGCAGGTGTCCCGCGTAGTCCCGGAGCCCGATGGACTGGACCCACTGAACCACCTGGTCGTTGGTCCAGACCAGCACATCTGAGGTGGGGAGAGGGCGGAAGGGCCCAGGCTGAACCCGGCAGGGCGGGCAGGAGGGCCCCCTTCCCCGGACGGCCAGCCCACTCTGCTCCATTCCCCGCAGCCTGTGTGGCTCAGGGTCAGGCCAGCCGGCTCCTGACCTTCCCCTGGCTCCGAGCGCTGGCACAGGCCATCCCGTCCCCAGGCTGGAATGGGCCCCTCACTCTTCCCGCCTTCGTGGTCTTTCCTGTCTACCACCCAGGTCCGTGGACACCTCCTCCATGCAGTCCACGGCCCTGTCCTGGAGACACACTGCATTGGTCCCCGCGGTGCACTGTCCACTGTGGGGGTCGCGGGTGGCTGGACAGGGGCGTTCTCCCGCAGACCGGGGCCCCAGTTCCTCAGGAGCTGGGCTGCACCTTCCGCCTCTGCCTCTACACCGCCAAGGCCTGGGGGTTCAGCCAGGTCCCTACTCCCCAGCAGCACCCCAGCTTCCAGAGGAGGCTCCAGAGCTGACCGCTCACCCTTGATCTCATGCTGGCTCTCTTCCCGCCTCTTCTCCAGCTCCTTCCGGTCGTAATTCAGCCTCTTCAGACACATGATGCCATACTGCAGGCTGGTCCTGCAGGCACACAGCCCCAGAGCCTCCGGCCACGTTCCCACCACGTGGCCCCGTGTCCAGACCTGCCTCCTCCAGCACAAAGAGCGCCCCCCCCCACTGAACCCCTCCCCCAGGGCTTCCTCCCACATGCCCCAGGCCACTCCCCCCCCAGCAGGGGGTGGGCCTGCAAGTTCCTGCAATGAAAGCAGCTTGGCCAGTCCCTCTCCAGGCACTGGAATGACAGAGATGCCTACAGCCACTGAGGCAGAAAAAGCAAAATGAAGACACCCCTTTGCAGTCCCATTTCCTGTCCTCACAATGGCCTTCAGTGCAGCCAGGGCTCCGCCCCCCAGCTGCAGCGTGGCGTGCCCCCTCTGCCTAGAATGCTCCTCCCATCAGCCACCTTGGCTCGAATGTCCCCATGCCCACCTGACCACATGATCATCACCACCCCCAGCCCACACCCCAAGCCCCTTATGCTGTCCTACTTTTTCCTGCCACCTTTAGTACCCACTGTCTGTCTCTCCCCGTGAGCACAGAAGCTCCATGAGCAGCAGCTTTGTTTCGTTAACTGCTGGGTCTCAAATCCTGAAAGGCTGCCCGGCGCCCAGCACCCAGCACCGGGCACCCAGCACCCGGCGGGCTTAATGAGCTTAAAGAAGAAGCAAGCAGTCCAGGCGTGACACCCACGCGGACGCACGACACCCACACGCAGCGGGCGCATGGGAAGCACCCACTGAGTAATGACAGAGCCAGACCGAGAGCCACAAAATCTGCGGGTCAGATGGGACCCCAGAGGCCATCAGTCCAGGCTCCCGCCTGATGCAGGAGTCACCGTGCAGCGCGCTTCCGAGCAGTGTGCTTCCTGTGCTGAACACACCTGGTGACAGAGCCCCCGCCGCGCGGGCAGCCACCTTTCCCTCACGCACAAACGCTGCCACCCGGCCCTCCCGCGAGGGTCATCTCCACAGCTGCCAACTGCAGCCGCCTTTCGCCCTGCTCCCGAGGCCGAGCTTGGCGACATTAAAGTGTGCAGGTCGCTCCCCGCTCTGTCCCTCAGCTGCACTCAGCCCTTCTGCCCGGACGACCCCTCGGCAGCTCAGAGACACCCCTTCGAGGAACGAGCAACCCGCGCTGCTTGAAGCCCCATGTCAGAAAAGGTCCTTCCAACTGCCGTTCCAGGAAGGGACTGGTCACCTCACCCAGACGGGGGGTTCAGCTCACGTCTTCTCAGGGTCACCCCGAGAACTCAGCAAGCCCGGCGACAGGCAATGACGTCCAGCCCCAGGGAGAAACCCCTGGGAAAGTGAAGCTGAAGAGACGTGGCATGCGGTGTCTGAGGCTGGGCGAGGCCTGGATCGCATCCTCGGGTTGCAGGATGAGGTGGGGATCGGCTTTCACAGAGGGGGGCCTGTGACCACCAGGCCCACACCCGCCCGCTCACCTGTGGAAGCTGTCCACCATCTTCAGGTGCACACGCAGGTCCTTCTTGCTGAGGTGGTCCAGCATGCGGGCGTCCACCAGGCACTCCATGAAGCAGCTGCGGTACTGGGGCAGCCCCAGGCTGGGCAGCCACTCGTTCCCAATCCACTCGTGGTTCATGTCCCCGTAAGCCAGGGTCTGGGGACAAAGGCAGCACCAGCTTGCCTCTGGCCCGTCTGCTTGACGTAAACATTACTGCACCCTCCACAGCAGCTCAATAAAACTCCGCTTTATTTTCCCTCGGGCTGGTGGTGGTGGGAGGCAGGGCTTTGACACGCAACTTTTTAGGATCCCGAAAAGATACGGTTCTACTCAGTATGGGTCATTTGCACCCAGGCAGCAGCAGTGTGAGCCTGCCCGCCTCTGAGCACATTGTGGCAGTGCGACGGCCTGCCTTCCTGACCGCCAGGGCCGAAGCAGCCAGACGTAGAAGCAGAGGCGGTGGTTCGCTCCCGCCTGCTGCCGTCCTCCAGCCCTTGGGAGGTGACCGCGGTGCTGAGCTTTCTGTCCTCTGCTTGAAAAGATGTTCACACTTTTTACAATCACTAGTGTGTGCCTCTCTAAACATATACCATTTACTTTCCTCGCTTTTGTGAGTTAGGGCACATTCTGTGAATCTCGCGAGACTTTCGCTTGACACGGCATTGCACGGAGCAGCTGCTGCAGGTGCCACTGTGTGAACACACTGGGACCGACATGCCGTCCTGTTGACGGCCCCTGTGCATTTACACAGAGATGTTCCATTTTTGTCCATAACACCTGACTCATGGCCCTGTCGATTGTGTCTGTCCCCCAGGACCAGCTTGCTCACTCTGTATCCAAACAGCTGGAGAAGCCTGGGGCCTGCCAGCTGCTCAGTGAAGATGTGCTCGCTGAGTAAACGGAAGGGAGGCCTTTGCTCAGGTCACCAGTCCCTGACAGGGGTTCTCCCCACCTAAGTCTTGCACTCCTTGGAAAGGGGTCAAACAGAGGGAGGCAAGCCTGGGGGGCGGGCACACCCATCCTCACCACCAGCCTGAGACCACAGTTGAGGGGAATGAGGGCGGAGGTGCCCGCAGAGGAGAGAGCCTGGCCGGACGCCACCCCGAGCATCCTGAACGGAGGCCTTACCTGAGCCCAGCTGCCCTCCTCACCATCCTGGCGGCATGTGAGGGAACAGGCCAAGTCAGAGGGGCTGACACCCAGCAGCTGGGTGGCTGACCCGGGAAGGGGTGTCCGAACAGGTGAAACAACAGAGGCTGCTGCGTGAGCCCGAGTTTGTGGCGAGAGGGCGCAGCGCTGTGTGTGGCAAACACACATCTCCACACCTACTGGCGTGCGTGGGAGCCAGGCCCCCAGCCCCTGGTGCTCCCCGCAAGGGTCAAACACAAGGCACAACTCTGGCTCCAGTAGTAGCGGCCTGGGGTGGGCCTGTGACACTGAGGTGGACTCCCGCACATGCTCACGCACACACGTGCACGTGCAGCGTACACACATTCACGGACACGCACCAATGCGCACACATGCACACATATGCACACATGCACACACCCACGTGCATGCACATGTATACACATGTGCACACACGCACACACCATACACACACCACACACATGTACACACTCATGCATGCACATGCACGCACATACCATATACATGCACACAGGTGTGTGTGCACGCACACATGTGCACATACACGCACACACCCACATTCACACCCACATGCACACACGCACACACCCACGCGTGTACGCACTCCTGTACATGCGCACGCACGTGCACACACACACACGTACACACCACGCGCACACACGCTTGCAGCCTCACTTCTTTCCCAGGAACTCTCTGCCCTGAGCGCAAACCTAATCACCCACGGGAGCCACCAGTCTCATCCTCGATCAAGTCCCCGCAACCGTCCCCTCACCCTGGAAGGGTGTCGGCCCCAGCCCCAGGCCCAGGGCCAGACTCACGGTCCTGGCGGGGGCTGCCAGCGTTTCCATCTCTTCGTGGGTGACCCAGACGTTCCCGGAAGACTGTGAGCAGAGAGGAAACGTGGCTGGTGCCGTGTGTCCCGCAGGGTGGGGAGCCCGCGGACAAGGATGAAGCTCCCTTCCTGAGTCCCCTCACGGCCCCGCCCGGAGCTCCGCGCACTGTCAGGCGCGGAGTGACGCCCCCGCTGCGTCTCACGGCTCGGCACACGGCCGCGTTCAGCTGACGTCTCCTCGGTGAACACGAACCAACGCGGTGGCTCTGGGAGGAGGCTGAGCAGTCACAGGGATGGATCGCGTGGGGCGGCGGACCCCAGGTCCACAGAGGGGTCAGCGTGCCCGACGAGCACAGGATGCGTGGACACCCCCCTGCTGCCCAGGAGTCTGTGCTGAAACCAGCACCCAGAGGCCAGGGAGGGCCAGCGAGGTGGGCCCACCTTGACCCGGAGCCCGCAGTGCCTTGCAGAGGCAGGATGAGGCCTGCTGGGGTCCCGCTGGGTTCAGTGCCCCGGCCGCCTGGGGGCCAGGCAGGACCCTCACGGGGTGAGACTCTGTACTGTCTCCCCAAAGAGCGACTTTGCAAAGGGAGACTTTGCAAACACTATCCCGGGGCCTCCATATGTCCAGGGTGAAGGGGAGGCCACTTACGGTCCTGGAGGTGGGCGGAGCAGAGGGGCTGGTAAGCGACACCATCTCCTGGATGGCCAGCCGCAGCTTGAGCCGGTGCAGGGCATTGCTGATGCCGACCTCCCGCTGGATCTCTGTGTCCGACAGGGCTGACATGATGGCGCCGCTCTTGACGTTGGCCCGGCAGGCTGCCACGTACCAGGCCGGCATCCCCACCCACAGCTGCAGAGGGCAGACGGTCACTCAACCCCATGCCCAAGAGCTGGGCGACACCGCAAGGCAAGGCCAGGCCTTGTCCCCGGTGTCAGAAGAGTAAACGCAGAGCAGGATCAGACGTGGGGACGCGACTGCCAGCGAGTGCCCGCTTCCTGTTCTACAACGGTCAGGGGCCGGGGAAGGTGAGGGCCCACAGGAAGGGTCAGACCGCCTCTGAAATCACGGCTCCGCGATGACCGTCATTCAGAATCAGGGGCATCAGAGTGACAGAGCGTGTCCTGGGGCGTGGGCGAGGGGCAGGTGCTGGAGCGCCTGGTGCCTGGCGGGGAGCATGCTGGGAGAAGTGTGCCCAGAAGCCCCGCCCACCCCGTTACCTCCAGCCAGGACACCACAGTAGGGCCGTCCCACTGCGCAAAGGGCACCCCTTTTCTGCGTGCATCTTCAAGCAGCTGGTGTCTTGCGGGAAGGGGACAACAGAGTCGCCGTGTCTCTCCACTGTGCTGACTCCCAGGCGCCGCGGCTGTGCCTCGTGCTGGCCCCCCTCCCCGTGCTCCCCACCCTGGGACTGGCACCTCTGCTCTGTGCCTGAGGCAGAGGGACGGGAGACACGGGGCAGGAATTGCCTCTGCACCCCCGGGGGCTGGTGACTCGTTGTGAGCACATGCCCAGCAGACACTGCAGTCTGCTCTGCAGAGACCCCCAGCCCCCGGCCTCCTTGCTCAGGTCAGCCCAAGAACCGCCTCCCTGCCGTGCCCCTGTGGACCAGGCCGTGTGCTTCAGAAAGGGCCTGGCTGGGCGCTGGCAGCCCAGAGGAAGGGAGCAGGCGGCCCGAGGCTCTCACTTCTTCTTCAGCCGCCGGTCCTTCTCTGCCTGGGTCCCCAGCTTGGCAGGCACCAGGGGCTCCTGCACGCCGAGCTCGGAGTCCATTAGCAGAACTGGAAGGGGAGAGATGGCGTGTCAGCTAGACCCTCTGCTGCTCCTCCCTTGGCCTGGGCCAGGACTGGGCAGCAGACCGCGACAACCCAGGAGCCTGAGGGGACCTCTGCTTGGCATCCCTGCACCCCGGTGGTCCCCGAGAGACTTTGAGTGGGTCGCCCCCGCGCAGAGTTGCCGCAGGAGTCTCAGCCTGGGGTGCTTCCAGCCGGTGGAGTGACGTTGGGACCCCGACAGCAGCAGAACCCTACACAGAACTTGTCCCTCTTCCAAACCAAGGTGCCAAAGAGTCCCGAGGCGACGTGACGGCTCAAGACTGAGAGGGTCCCCGGGCCTGGGCCAGGCTGGGCACACAGCCTTTCTCGGGGTGCCCTCAACTGCACAGAGCCACGAGGGACCATGCACAGCTCTGCCAAGCGACCCCTGACTGGATGCCAGAACCCCGGAATTCGTGGCAGGGGCAGCATCTCAGAACGCGTCTAAGTCCCAGTCACTGTGCATGGTGCACCAAGGGCAGTGGGTGGGCCTCACACGGGGACCGATTCGAGATGCTGTCACAGGTTTGAGTGCCAGCACTGTGGGGGACACAGGAGTCAGAAGCGTCACAGAAAACTCCCTCCGCACTGACCCCGTGTGGGGTGCGGGCTGCTCCAAAGCCCCACACACTGAGCAGAGGTGCCTCTCTGCTCCCCACTGGCCTCCTCCGAGTCACGCCTCACCCCAGGAAGGCATGATTGTGAATTCCCTGCTCAGCTTCATCCCCTGCTGTGCCCACCACCCTGGGGCCTCACAGACCTGCTGCGCCCACAAGGCCCTCAGGAGCTGGCCCCAGCTTGGGGTCCAGCTTACCTCTCCACCCCTCCCCTCCCCACTCGGCGAGACTCAAGTCGACCCACACACTGCCTGGCAGAGGGAGCCAGTGTCACGCCGACCACACCGCGGCAGAGCACCAAGTGCCAGCGGCTCCCCGGCTCGACACTGTCACCACATCGCCCCAGAGCTGTCTGTTTTCCCCTCGTCGCTGGATCTCCCCGAATGACTGTACCAAATACTAAGCCTGTATCCAGGGGTCACTCCACAGACGTACAAACGGGTGAGGGCAGGAGGAGAAGGGCGGGGCCTGTGCCCCCACCACGTGCCCAGCGTGTGCTAGGACTTCAGGTCATGCCTCTGCTGCCACCCGCTACCCTGGCCAGGCCCCTACCTGACTATAGCATCTACAGAGCCATGATGAGGCAGGATGAAACGAGTCCCTCAGGCCAGATGGAGCAGAGGTAACCTCTAATTAAGAACTTTCTTCTCCCAAAGAAAGAATTGAGAAACTTCTGCCAAAGGTGCTGAGCGGGCTCCACGAGAAACCCTCCAAACCAGAAAGCGCCTCGGTGGTCCCACCTGCACTTGGCCGGGCCCCTCTGCGAGCCCCACAGCCTCCGCCTGACTCCCCTGGGCAGGGCCGCCTCCTGAAGGCGGAGGGATGGACAGGGCCTGCTCGCTGGCCAGGGAGACGGGCAGGGGGGACCAGACCCCGCCACGGCCTCCTGCTTCTGGCCCCTGCACCGTGCCCGCCCACTGGGAAGGGCCCCAGACCGTGGCCCGTGGCTCCATCCCTGCTCTGCTGAATCAGCCGGCCCTTGTCCTTCTTCCCGAACAGGCGGCTGATGGACGACTTGAGGCCTCTGCGCTTGGCGCCCCTGTGCAAGGAGTCCTCGCTGCTGCTGGGGTCACTGCCCTGCTCATCCCGAGCGCTGGAGGGGACCGCGAGGGGAGAAGACGCTGAGTTACAGCTGCAGGGGTGGGCGCGAGAGCCCAGGAGGGGCTTCCGACAAGTACGGGAGCCGGGGCGAGGGTGAGGGGCATCAGCAGAGCAGGGGGCCGGGGGAGACGTGGGGCTGTCCACCCCGGCGGTGTCCCAAGGAGAAACGCGCCATCACACACCAGGACAGGTGGGACGGCTGTCAGGTGGGAGCCGCTCCACTTACCTCTTGCCTTCTTCCTGGCTCCAGGCTAGGTGGCCAAGCTTCTCCAGCCGCAGCGTCCTGGGTGAGGAAGGAGGAGAAGTCTCACATTTTATGGTGGCTTTATCCTCTCGGTTCTCTTCCCGAGACACTGGCGACTGAACAGACAGTGGAGCCGTCAGGGGTAGAGGGCGCATCTGCCGGCCCAGCCCGGACGAGGCGGGAGCAGGGAGCAGAGATGCAGCGGGAGCCTTGGGGCGGGAAGGAGCCGGGAAGGCAGGACCCACGCGTCCGGCAGCACTCACCAGCAGCCACCTCCTGTGCTTTCTTAAGTCACTGGGCTGGAAGAGAGAGTGAGGGTGAGCTCACACTCACCTCTGGATGCCCAGTCAACCCCAAGGGAACCCAGTGGTCTCAGGACAACAGGGTGCAGTGCCGCCCACAGGCCGGAGAGAACATCTCAGCCCACAAAAGCTGGCCTGGAAAAGTTAGGTCAGGGCCACCTCTGGGAGACAGGAAGTCTGTGCTCATCGGAGGGACAGGATACGAAGGACACTCCGCGGGCCCTTTCCGAACCCTGGACACGGAGGGGGCCTGGTATGCCAGGTCTGTGTGCGTCATGGGAAGACGTGGAGCCAGGCTGAGCCCCCTTGCCAGCCCCCAGAGCAGAGCCCAGCGATGACGGGGCCACTTCTCTACTGTCCCAGGATGCTCACCAGGGTCATGACCCCCATTCGGTCCAGGTCCTGGGCAGCACTGCGGGAGGCGAGCTTGGGTGTGGTGCGGCCGCCGAGCGGAGGGGACGCACTGGCCAGGGACAGGGCCGTCAGGGAGGTGGGGATGGGGCTGCGTTTGCGTCGCTGGGTCAGGTCGAGGGCCTCCGTGCTGCCGCTGGTCACGCGCGTCTCTACCTCCTCAGCCCGGAGCTCTGTGGACTCCTTCTGGATCGCCCTGAGAGGCAGGCAGCACCGGCCTCGCCATCGGCCCCACAAGGGCCAGCGGGAGGTGAGCGTTGGGGGCGCGGCCAGGCACGCGAGCCCGGTGGGCAGGCGCGTCTACTCCACTGCAGCGAAGAGCTCCTCGCCTCCTTGCCGGCGGCCTGGTGTGCCCGAACCCCCCACTCTAACGAAAGCGGGGAGTCTAGCCAGTGGGACATGTCCAAACTCCAGGCCCACTGCTAACTGCACGGCTGACCTCGAGTTAAGCAGAGGTCTGCATCCCCACACACAGGCCCCTGGACGGGTGCCAGCAACGGCGTTTCCCGGTGCGTGGAAAAGTGAGAGGAACAACAAGGCTGGGGGCACACCCCGAGGGTGTGAGTGTGCGCCACGCACGGCCGCACAAACACACCCCTGCCCCTGGGAGCGGCGCTTGCCTGCGTACGTCTTTCCAGCTTCAGGGTGTTAAATATCCTGTCTTTTGTAGAGTGGCTATGACAGGAGGTGGCAGTTATCTTTAAAGTTTTATTTGGTGGAATAAAAGCTGGTGGTCCGGTAGCTACCTTCTGTGTGTGCGTGCGTGCGTGCGTGTGCGCGCGTGTGTGTGCGTGCGTGTGTGTGTGTATGTGTCTGTGTGCATGTGTGTGTGTGTGACATTTTCTTTTTAACTGGCCTGTGAAATCCAAAGTGTGGGTGCCATTGACCCGGATGCCCTCGACAGCCCTGAGAAGCTCCGACATCTCTTGCTAGGCCTGATCACAAACATTAATAAGTTCTCTGCAAAGGCAGCGTCAAGGGCCGGTCTTCCTGTCATGTCCCGTTTAGACCCCCACACACACGAAATCCTGGCTCCGACACTCACTGTGTTGCTTTAGGCAAATCAGTTACCCTCTCCGGTTTTCATTCCTTTGTCTGTAAAGCTGAGATACTGCTGTCTCCCCCAGGGACGGTGGTAAGATGGACAGTAGCATCTCAGAGCCCTCTGCCCAAGCCCGCCTGCTGAGGCACCATGCACTGACCAGGTCTACTACAGAGGTTGCAAGGGCACAGCCTGCCAAGCCCTGGCGGGTCACGCAGCCTGAGAGGCCAACCTGAGGGCCTGCCCCTCGGGCCAGCACGAGGCCAGCACCTGGCCTGATGCCCCGCTCAGGGCCCCTGAACTGTGGTGCTCCAGGGAGCCGCTGGAAGAGAAGGGCAAGTACACGCAGACATTCCCCACAGAGCCCGACCCGAGGGGCACCGCCTCCGAGGGGCACCGCCTCCGAGGGGCACCGCCTTGGCAGCCCCAGCCAGCCCTCCGCCCCACCGAACCTGATCTCCTCGTTGATGGCGTCCAGCTGCTCCTGCAGCATGATGGCTAGGGTCTGGGCATCGGAGTGGCTGCTGGGGGAGGCGGCATCCATGGAGCCCCCCAGGCCCTCTGGCTCATCCTCATCCATGTCGGAGAGCTCAGGGTCACTGTCGACGGCCAGCACCCCGGGCCGTGGAGATGGTTCCCAGGCCTTAGCGAAGAAACAGGGCGGAGGAGCAGCCGTCAGACAGCCCGGCTGCCAAGGGGCAGGACCCTCAGTGCCCAGGGCGGCGGCGGCGGCACCTCCGGGAGCTTGTTAGGAATGTAGTCTCGGGCGCCACCCCAGACCTGGGGGTGCAGAACCTGCACCCTAGCCAGACCCCTGGGTGATCCGTCTGCACATCAAAGTCTAAGGAACATTGCGGGAGCTGTGCCAAGGAGCTGGACGGCAGAGGGTGCAGAGACTCGCCAGAGAGAGGCTGCCTCGCTGCGAATGCCGGCTCCGCCGAACGCTGGCTGTGCAGCCATGGGCTGCGGCTTAGCCTCCCTGCCTGTTTCCGCATCTGTGAAACGAGGCAAGTCACAGTACCTACTTCACACGCAGCTGTGACGACGGGAACCCCCGGCACGGTGTCTGGCACGAAGCAAGCGCATTAACACAAAGGGTGAGGAGGTCCAGGGAACAGAGAAGTCCAAGCGGGCCTGACTCTCCTGTCCCACAGTTTCAACACGTGGCAGGTCCAGCAAAGGAGAGAGCACAGTACCGAGCCGAGAGCCAGATGACCAGGAGAAGCAAAGCAAAGGGGCCAGGGACCCTGAGGACCCTGAGCAGCGCCGAGCTCTTATAAACAGTGGGGCGGAGAGGAAGAGGCCCCTCCAGACTGTGACCCCTTGGACAAGTCCTCCTGTCTGCCTGCCCTGTCCTCCGGTGACCTGCAGCATGTACGGGCCTGGGCTCAGCACAGGGCCTGGCCAACAACTACGGGGCCAGGAGGCAGACCGGCCGTCTCTGTTGTCCTTCGGGTGTCCCCAGGCAGACTCGGCACCAACTCACAGCTGCTTCTCAGCAAACGTCAGGTGCCATCCCAAGGGACAGCGAACCTGCCGTCCCTCCCTCTTCTGCCCCAGAAACCATAACGTTTGTTCCAGAAAGCTTGCCGGTCCCATCCTGCCCCTGAATCCCTGGCTCTGACCACACGCCTGTGCCCCCAGGCACACGTGCACACGTGCACACGCGTCAGTCGGCTGCAGGGATGGGCTGGCTGCCCGCCAGGAGGCCGAGGCAGAGGGCACAGCTGCTGCAGCTGATGGTGGCCCACGGCTGCAGCTGTCGCTGATGCACGGGAGGGAAGGGGAAGGATTTGCACCACACGCCAGCCGTCTGTGAAACTGGAGCCAGGCACACGGCCCAACTGACCCCAAACTCCCCGGAGACCCCCGCTCACCCCTCCAGCCCTCACCGTGGCAGGCTCTTCCCGCAGAGCCGGGTAGCGGCGGTGTAGGCCCGGGGCAGCGTGGGGAGTTGTGCTCAGGGAGAACCGCACGTCGGCAGCACCGCCCGGGCCCGACCTGCCGGAGAGGGGGCAGGGGAGAGAAGACGGGCCCTGAGGACGAGCCCCAGCTCACACCACTGGCCCAGGGCACCGGGTTCTTCAGCTTAGACGAGTCTTGGCACAACATAGAGCTATCGTGAACATTTTAGGGGCTGCCAGGCGAGCAAGTTTGATTTATCCCCTGATGCTCCTGGCGAGAACGTCCTAGGGAGGCTGCTTGCCATTGATAAGAAGCACCTTTGACTGCCAGGAGTCGGCTTGCGGTGCAGCCAAGGGCTTTTAAAAGCTGAACTTCCCATCAAATTGGCATCCAGGCCAAGGACCCCCATCCCTGGACAAGATGGTGTGGGGGGCCCTGCCGCCACGAGGCTGGAAGGGCAATCGCCTCAGGTCCATTTAGGTCTGCGGGTCTCTGTTCCCGCATCTTCTTCTCAGCAACTTTCTGGGCCCTCCCGTAATCTGCACGGGGTCTTGGCTAAAGCTCCGCCCAGGCAGCCCCAGGGGCCTGACGCTGCACCAGACCGCCCGGCCATCCTGCCGGGGCCAACTCCCAGCTGAGCAACAGGGTCCCAGGGACGAGCCCGTGGAGGTCTGTGTGCCTTCCCAGTCTGGAACCTTGAGCGAGCCCAAGCCGAGGGTGGGTGGGGCAGCATGGGATGGGTAGGAACCTTGAGGCTTCTGGTCTAAGCGACCTTGGCTGGGGGAGGAAACAGCCCGGAGGCATGAACCTCGAGTGGGTTCACCTGGTTCAGCCTCCGCCACCTTCATCCTGCCTCTCTGCTGTGGGCAGGCTCAAGGTCTGAGTCCAGTGTCGACTGCTTCACAGAACGTGGAGGGAAACCCAGAGCTCCCTGGAGGAGCATCGGGTGGGAAGCTGCACTCACCACCCCTGGAGGTGCTCAGGGACAGGCTGCCACGACCACATGCGTCACGGGGAGCGGGCCCTGGTGCCTCCTTCCACCCCCCCAACTCCGCTGCCCGCTCCCCGGGCAGCCCCCAGCTCAGACAGCGACCCTGCAGGCCCTGAAGATGCGGCTCAGAACCGGAGCAAACCGGACACTGCAGGGGCTGGGGGCCGCGAGCGGGCATGCCCCGCCCAGGAAACAGGAGCCGCGGCCCGTGTCCACGGCCAGGGCAGGAGCGTGCCGCGCCCAAGCCACCCAACGAGCCCGGCCTGTGACCAAGCTCCCCAGCCTGTGTCCCGCCGACTAGAAGGAGGGACCTGAGGTGCTGGGCCATCCTTCAGTGCAGGGGAGGCTCCCTCCTCAGGGTCTGCCCAGGACCCCCTCAGCACTCCTGGCCTCCTGTGCCCCATACCTGGCGTGGCTGCCATCCACCAGCAGCCCCCCTCGACCCTTCAGCTGGTCCACCTCTTGGCGCAGCTTCTCAATCTCTTCAGACAGGCGGCCCTGTGCCGGGCAGACGGGGCGGGGGGGCCAGGGAGGGACAGAGAGGGGAGACAGGGAGAGAGAGGGCAGCAGAGCTGGAGAGAAGCAGAAGGGGCCCCGCAAAGTCCCAGGCCAGACCCAGATCACACTGAGAGATGAGGTCCAATTGGAGTGAGCAGGTCAGCAGTAGGCGGGGCTTGGACGGGGGGGCGGGGGGGGGCGGTCTGTCTGAGCACAGACCCTACCGGAGGACCTACTGAGCCCTCACACCACACCTCGCATGGCATGCGAGGCTGGGCGCAGAGGGGCCCCGTGCCCTCCGGACATCACAGACACTGCGAAGGCAGGCGCAGCGGCCACCTCTCCCGGAACCACCGACTCTCGCCTCGCCAAGTCCTTTTGTTGAGTCCTCCACTGGGTCCCACAGCTCTGCTGCCCACGCTATGCCCTGAGCTGTGGCCTCAGTCTCTTCTTTATGTGGGGGTGGGATGCACCTACTGGTAGGGCCCTAGGGGGTTAGTGAAACGCATGTGCAGGGGCTGACAAACGGGCTCCCCGGGCCAGGTTTCAGCGGCTGCAGGGAACACGGCCGGCCACGCTCCCAGGCCTGCGGGCTGGCCGGTGGCTGGGTACCTTGTGATGGTGCTGCTCGGCGATCTGCCGCTGGGAGCTCTCCAGCTCCTGAATCAACGTGTTCTGGGGACAAACAGCTGTGAGCCAGGGACCCAGCCCCGGCTCCGCCCCCCGCCCCCACCTGGCCCTGGGTCTGCTCTGCAGGGCGGCCAGCTCCTCCCATCTCCAGCCATCACTGGAAGCGGGTGCACACTGGTCCCCAGTCCCAGGCACGCCTCGCCCCTAGACTACCTCCTAGCACCCTGACCCTGCCCTGCCATGAGCCCTGCCCCTCAGGCCCCGCCCTCCTGGGAGCCCCGCCCTCCCGGGAGCCCCGCCCCTCCGAGCACCACCCCCTCACGGCACCTTCTCCTCCAGGGCAGCCATGCGCTCCTTGAGGTGGAGCTGCAGGCGCTCGTTGGACTCGCTAAGCAGCCGGTCCACAGTGTCTGACAGCCGCTTGTTGTGGTCCTCGTTCATCTTCTCCCGCTGGCGTACCTGCACAGCCAGCCGGCCTTCCACCTGGCCCCCCGCACCCGCCACCCCAAGGCCCTGCCCAGGGGGCCGCCCATCCCAGCGCGGTTCCACCCTGTTCGCTTGTCCCATCCTCAACTTCCCTGGGGGCCCCTCTCTCCAGCTCTCCCGCCCACCTCCTCCCACTCCTAGGTGGCTCTGTCCCTAGCCAGGCCCTTCCCCAGCTCCTACTTCCTCATCCACAGACCATCATGGGCGGCTCTGGGTGGCGCAGAGAAGGGCCCCGAAGCCCAGCAAGGCCCTCACCCTTGCCAGCTCCTGGTTCTTCTCCTCCAGCTGGCCCTCCAGCTGCCGAAGGTGCTCCTCTATGTTGCCGTGCCGTTCTTCAGCCTGGGGACAGGGGGACAGGTGACAGTCAGTGTAGCCTGCAGATCACCTGTCCTCCTGCTCGAGTCTCCTATCTCATGCACCCTGGTTCCAGAGTCGTCTCTGGGGACTAGAGTCTCAGGGACCAACGAAGCCCAGGTCTCCTCCTGCCACCCTGGAGCAGGACTGTCATCACCGGGCCTCCCCTCCGGAGCACTGCAGAGCACGCCAGCTGCCCCGCCCACTCCCGGAGCTCAGGGCCTGCCTTCCGACATCCTCAGAGACTGCATCCTCTGCACTCCTGGGAAAATCTCCCCTTGAAAGCACGGGCACGCCTCCAGGTAGACGGCCCTGCACTTGACTGCAGGGATTCGAGCTAGACCATCTGTGTTCAGATCCGGGCTCCCTCTCTTCCCAGCCGTGTGACCTTGGCCGGTTACTGAACCTCTACGTGCCTTCGTTTCCTAAGCTGTAAAATGTGCGTGGCAACAGCGCCGATGCCATCAGCTCTGTGGGGACTGAAGGGGACAGCCCACGGCAAGCGCCTGGGGCACAGTCAGCGCTTGCAGACACCTGCGACTAACCCAGCCCAGGCAGAGCGGCGCCCTCCGTTCACGTGTCTCCAGCGGTGGAGATCCTGCCGCCTCTGCCGAGATATTCCAGACCATCACACCCCTTACGGTCAGGAGGCCCCTCCTTAAAGCCCCCCTGCCAGGACTCACTGGAACAAATCAGTCACTTCCGCTCATCCCTTCTGGTCAGTTCTGGGACACGCTAAAGCTGGCCATTCAGCATGACGACATCCTCTGGAGCACTTTAAACTCAGCCCTTAGTCCTTCGAGACCACCAAGTCTAACCCCGTCATCATGGAGACCGTGACAGCACCACAGAGACAATGACCCTGGTGCCTGACTTTTCCCAGGCCACAGAGCCATCAGAGGCAGAGGCAGACTCGGTCCTGGGTCCACAGAGGTAGAGCCAGGCTGTGGGTTCCATCCCCACGGCCCCCAAGGTGCCATGCAGGGGCCTGATGCCTGCTCCACTGGCTTCCTTCTCTCCCTGGGGGGTTGCAACGGTGACCCCGAACGAGGCCCCTGGAAGCCCCCGCCCAGCTGCAAGCACTCCTAAATCTTCTTGCTTGATCCACGCATGTCTCGGCCCAGGCACCAGCTCTTCCAGAACCGGGCTTTCAGCCTGCACGCTTCTCATGAATTACTCCTCCATAAAGTTAACTTTCCATTGGGTAAATTTACATTCCCTTGTATTTGTCCTAAAGCTGCATCCTTCAAGAAACCAGAGATGGTCCCTAGATCTAGAAGGCTTCAATTTGATAAAGGTAGATAAGTTCAGCCTGAGCTCTGCCCCGCTCCCCATTCAGGAAGTGTAGAGTCCAATCCTATCTCCTCTTCACTTTTCCAGAGATGAAAGTCCTGATTTCTCCACTCCAGACCCAAACCAAAGGAGCGTCGACCAGGATGATGGACGCGCTCACAAAGATGACTTGCAGCAGCACCCTCTCCTCTGCTTCTTGAAGTGCTTTTACACCCTTCTCGTGGGACCGCGCCCCCCGCCCCTCCGCGGGGTGCTGAGGGCAGGAACCACTGTTCCCACCGGCAGACACGGGGTGCTTCCTGGAGCCTCGCAGGGGGAAGCAGTCGCCCGGCCCAACGCACCTCCACTCTGCAGTCACCGCCCGGCTCCGCAAGAGCTCAGGAACGGGGTGCCCAGGCAGACCCCCGGCCCCGGCCGCTTGCCTTGGTGAGGGCCGCGATCCTCTGGGCCAGCTCGGCCTCCACCTCGGGCAGCGTCTCGGCCCTGCGCGTGGTCTGCTGCAGCTTCCGCTCTGCCGCCTCCAGCAGCTCCTGCAGGTGTCGCGCCTTCTCCTCACACTAGTGAAATGGGGTGCGCGGAGAGTCGGGGGGGGGCCCTGGAGCCACCCCTAGTCCCGCCCAGCCTCAGCACAGAGCAGGTGACAGGCCGAGAAGCAGCAAGAAACCACAGTGGTTCCTGGCTGCCTCAGGCGCCCAACTTGCTGCTTCTCAACCTGACCGGCAGGTCCCCAGGGGCTCCTGGGTCACCAAGGGAAGGCTGCAGCACAATCGAGACTGTGGGAGGGTCAAGTGCCGCCCCCCCCGCCCCGTCAGCAGGAGCGTTACCTGGCGGTGCAGGGACTCCTTATTGGCCAGCTCGTGCTCCAGTTTGTTGCTGAGCTCATGGATGGATGTGGCCTCACGCTGAGCGGCCAGGTAGCGCTTCTCCAGTGTGGTGATCCGCTCCTCCATGTCCTCCTTCTGGGCCAGAGCCTGGGCGGGAGAAAGGGGACAGGAGGGAAAGTCATCGACTTCTTCCTGCGCCCTCCCGTCTGCCCCTCCGGCCATCACCTGGCAGGCTGTGTCTTCCCCACGCTGCTCGCCAGAGTCTGACCTCACCCCATCCCTTCTGCCGCTCCTGCCCCCAGTGAGCCCCGCCCAGGGTCAGTCCCACACGTCCAGGCCCTGGAGGGCCCAGCTCTCCGCCCACACCAGGGCACCCAAACAGCTGCCCTCCTGAGAGCTGGATACCTGCGCCCAGCACGCCGCGGCCCTTGCTCACCTCGCGGAGGTCCCGCTGATGCCTGCCGCTCAGCTCCTCCGATCTGACGAGGTCCCGGCGGGCCGTGCCCAAGTCCTCTTCCAGCTCGGCCACGGTCGCCGTCAGGGTGACCAGGCGTTCCCGGGCCTGGCTTAGCTCAAAGTTCTGCTTCTCCAGCAGCTCCTGCAGCTCCTCCGCCTGGCCATCATCCTGCAGGGACAGCGAGCCAGCAGTGCCGTCAGAGCCCAGGACCTCCCACTCCCGACCCACCGGGGCAGGTGGGAGGAGCGACCACTCAGCCCTGGTTTCAGAGCTCACTCCAGACAACGACAGATGCCCTTGCTCCCCTGTGCGTCTCTTGAAAAGCAACGGTTTCTATTTTTACCTGCTGGCTCAGCCTCTTTTAACCTAGAAAGCGGCATGACTAGGGGAACGAAGGCTCAGGGAGGGGAGGGGTCTTGCCAGCGGACACACGAGGGAGGTCAATGGGACCAAGCATATTATGTGCCTAGCAGCAAATGGAGCACCAAAACAAAAACCTATAGATTCCTCCGCGGACGGGTGGCGCAGGGTGGGACAGGAAGGGAGGCTCTGGGAAAGGCCGAGGGAGCCAGGCAAGGCAGGGCCCCGCCTCCCGCCTGGGGGCCTCGCGCCTCCCCAGGACCCACCTTCCACAGGCCTTTCGGTCCCAGTTCCACTGTCCCCTCCTCCTCTGCCACTCCATCCCGGATCCCTGCCCCCTGCTGCAGGGCAGACACCTATAGGGCACAGCCCCAGGGCAGTGAGTGAGTCAAAGACAAGAGAACCTGCCACATTCCCCAGGCCCTTCTGGGCCTCCCGCCTCCCAGACAGGGCCCAGCCTCCCCTCAGCCAGCAGTCTCCAGCCCAGTCAGGGGGCCACAGAGCGGGGCAAAGGGAGGGACTAGCCTTGGCTCCCAGGAGCCACAATGGCAGACGGAGGGTAGGCAGGCCACGTACCTGCTGCTGGGCGCCTGCCAGCTGCTCCTCCAAGGTGGTGACTCGCTCCAGGGCCGCCCGGAGCCGCTCTCGCACCTGCCCAAGGTAAGAAGGTAGGATGCTAAGGGGAGAGGGAGGGGAAACAGACCTCACTGGACTCAGGCTGGGGGAGCCTGGGCTTGGTCCGCTGCTGCTGGGTGTGGGGCACGGAGAAGGCCAATTGGGCAGGACCCTAACAGTGGCACCTGCCACTGGGCCCGTGTCGGAGGGGCCAGTTATGGAGCTAGGAGGCAGTGCCCCCAAATGCAGGACGCAGACGCGGTGGGGAAGGGGCACGGAGAGGCTCCAGGGAAGGCGGGCTGGGGCAGCCTGGGTACCTTCTCGTCCAGTGCCTTGTGATGCTCGAACAGCGACTTGAGGGCCTTCAGCACTTCTACCTCACTGGAGACCCCTGAGGGCGACTGGGCCTGGCGCTTCACCACGGTCATCCGCAGTGACCGCTCGTGGCGGGACACCAGGCACTCCAGGTGTTCCAGGAGCAGCTGGCAGGGAGCGGGGAGCAGGAGGGCTGTGAGCATGAGCACAGGGACGACAGCGGGTGCCCATGGCTCCTGGGCAGACGTGAGTGCGGCCAGCTATGCCACTGTTAAAGGCTGAAATGCTTCCTCGTCGCTCAGCAGGTGCTGCCCCAGTGACATCCTGAGCCAGCTGCCCTACCCGCTGCTAGGACCCGGCTACAGGTCAAGCCTGGTGCTGATGGTGGGACAGCCTGACCCCCACGCGCCAGGTCGCCCGCTCACCCGCGTGTCACTGGGACGACCTGACCCCTGACCCCCACGCGCCCGGTCGCCTGCTCACCCGCGTGTTGTTCCGCTCCGCTCTCAGCTCCGACACCTCTTCCTCCCGCTCCAGGAGCTGCTCCCGACACGTGCTCAGCTCCCGAGTTAAAGTGGCAAATTCCTGAAAACCCACACGGCCCCTCAGTGCACGGGCCTCACTCAAGTCCGTGGTGCAGCCCTCTCGGCCCTCAGTCACCCCTGCCCCGGGACAGGACAGCAGACCGGCAGCCAGCACACGCGTCCCCAGAGGGGCCAGCGTGGTCTGAGCCGAGCCACAGTGTGAGGGAGCAGGGCAGGTCCAGAGCCAGAACAGCAGTCGTTCCGCGGCCCCTCCGCCTCCAGCTGTCCACGAGCCTGACCGAGTCCCCTCCCCCAGGGCTTGGCAGGCTGCAGGTGGCCCATGAAATACGGGGACTGTAGGACCCATGACATGGGCCCGGGGGAGCGTGCAGACCAGCCCAGTCCGCCACGCAGCTTCAGCTCTGGCTGCTGGGGCCCCGGCTCACAAGGGCCAAGGCTGCACTTGCTGGCCTTGCCCAAGACCCAGGCCCGAATCGCCTCGTGGAGCCCCCTAGCCCTTCTCAGCCCACGGCAGTGGAGCTGGCCCCCAGGCCCAGGCCCACTGTACCCTACTCATCTAGCCAGACATCGCCTCACTCCAGAAAGACGGGCAGACCGGTGGCCCACGTTCTGTGGCTGCCGGGGTCTGGGAGTGCCCGAGCAGTGGCTGCAGGAAGGGGACAAGGGACCCAGAGAGGTCAGGGCCGGAAAAGCCAGGGCCCTCTGACTCTGCTACTTGATGACCGCCTTCCTGTCCAGGCCACGTCCTAAGGCGGTCCAGCATCTCACATCCTGGAAGGCCTGGCCCTGATGCTGCTGGTCCCCGCTCGGGTCTCTCTACCCCAGGACCCTCCTACCTCCCCCCAACCTAGCCCATGGACTTGCTGCTGCCACATGCTCTCCCAAAGCATAGGCTCCACAGCGCTGAGCACAGCTTCTTATCCTGGCCCCCAGCTCCCCTCCCATGGCTGCTTCCCACATGCCTAAGGCCTGGTCAGCCGGGGTCACCTGCTGCTTCCAGTCACCAGCCTTCTTAACCCTACGCTTTTGCTCCATGGGCTCCTTCCCCCAAGGAAGCCAAAGCCTCTGTGGGCCCTTCCCAGGCTCCCCAGCGAAGTCCCCTCCTCTGAGATCTGCTGCGAGCAGCGTGAAGAGCACCATGTGGGAGCCCACCATTCGCCCGCAAATACTGGGAGCACCTCCCACGTGCCAGGTCCTGTGCTGGTCTCTGGGGACACGGTGACAAGACAGACACAATTGCTGCCCTCATGAAGCTCCCAGGACGTTCCCTAAGCTCTTTGAGCCTCCAGCCGCTCATCCGTGACACACAGGTACAGCTGTCCCTCAAGTGTCACCCACCACGAGGGGCCAGTGAGCCAGTGACTGGGAAGCACTTCGCACAGGCCCCCAAGGGCAGAGATCTGTGTCCCTGATACTGTCCTCTCCTGATCCCTTGGGTCCCTGCCTGTCCCCTCTCTGCTCTACGAGCTTCAGGGGCAGGGTCTGGCCCCTCCAGTGTAGGGCTTGTTCAGGGCCATGCATGGTAGGATAGGGTGGGATCACGTCCACCCCAATTCTTCACTGGGGCCCCATCTTCCTACTGATCAAGCATCACAAGAATGAGCCGGCAGGAACTCACCCTCCCGGGCCCACGCTGTCCTCCCACATGTGGGGACAGGGTCTGAGCCAAGTCTTGAGCTGCTGAGCCAAGTCTTGAGGCTCCCAAGGGCTGCCTCTGCCAGTCCCGTGGGCATGAGCAAACGGCTAAGTCCCCGAGCTTCAGTGTCATCACTGTGAGATACTAGCTTTGCGGCTTTGAGGGTTCGGGGAGGTAAACCTGACACACGATGCTGAATGCGGGGACACACGACACGTGGGAATGTGCGGCCATGCTGCTGCTGCCTGAGGAGCAGGACAGGTGTCGCGAACCTGGCTCCTAGGTCTAGCTCTGCCTATTTCTACAGGAAGCCTCTGGGCTTGTCATCCGAGCAGTAAGAGAGGCAACCAGATGATCTCTAAGGCCTCCCACAGCCCCCAAGAACAGGGCCTGGGCTCTGCCGGGTGCAGAGGCTCTCCTGGTCTAGGCCGCCACCTGCTGGCCACACGGCCTCATTGCGGCCGAGTGTTCTCCCTGCATCGGGTCCGCGGGACTAATGTTCTCCCGCGGAGCCAACTGCAGGCTGAGAGGCAGGGCAGTGGCAGGGGAGGGCGTATGCAGGGAGAGGAAGGGCGGTGACGCCTGTGAGTTCCCTTTGCTGACCTGTGATGCAGGCAGACGAGCTGACAGCCCAGAGGATGCTGGGCTCAGGCCTCACCTGGGGCAGGGCCGTGTTCAGGTGGCGCTGGAGCTGGTCCCGCTCACGAAGGGCATCCTGCAGCCGGCTCTGCGTGGCCGCCAAGGTCTCCTGACTCTCACGAAGGGACTCCAGCAACTTCTCCCGCTCATCCAGCATGTTCACCATCAGCTGCTCAAAGCTGGCATCAGCACCGGCGCCATGCGGGGGTCCCAGCGGGTCCCCCTCGTTGATTGTGGGCATCACCTCACACATAGCGGGGGTGGGCAGGGCAGGTGTTCACAGGAGTGGCACCTCCGGGGACCCAGGACACAGGTCTCAGAGCAGGCAGTGCCTGGCGAGTGGACGGCTGGGCCGGGGCTTCTCCTGTGGCATCAGTTTCTCTGAAAAGCAGCTGGTGCCTGAAGAACTGCTGTGGGGTGAGGCCAGAGGGCTGGGCTTAGCCCCTCGGGGCTGGGGCTGGGTGCCCTGTGTCCCCAGGCAAGCGGGCAGCAGCCGAGTCTGGCCATGGCCAACAGAGAGCAGGGCTGGAAGAGGGCCCTCGGCTTAGGCTGAGCGCTGGGGCCTGGCAGGGTCCCAGTGGGGTCTGGTGACACCCATCGCCTCTGGAGGGCAGTAATCTGTGGGAGAAGAGACTGTGTGAGGGTCAGCTGAGGCGGAGGGGAGGCAGCACGGGACCGGAGCCGGCACAGGCCCTGCAGCCCCAATGCTCGGCGGCGCCTGCCCAGCTGTCCCGCTGCCACAGCCTCTGCCTCCAGCCGCCCCGCCCCCGCTGGCAGCACAGTGGAGAGGTGCCCCCGCACGAGGCTCTGCCCAAAGACAGAACTGATCGGCACAGGCTGCTGAGTCCTGAGACCTGCGGGGGAGAGGGGGCAGCAGGAAACGGGGTCCCTGGGTCCTGTACGGACTCAGGCCAAGACCAGCGCAGAACTATGACGGGGCTCCTGAGGGACTGGGTGGCCGGGTCCCAGGAGGTGGGTCACAACATGGCCGCTGGCAGAGGCTCGACTGGGCACTGAGGCTCGCCACAGTGAGTCCTCAGGGAGGAGTCTGCCTCGTCGCCCCGTCCTGGAGCCGGGCACGCAGATGTCCATTCTGCGTCGTGGCCGACTCGCCGGGGCTGAGCAGGGACCAGACGACGTGAGGAAGGGCAGGGGCAGTGTGGGGTGGCGGCCCTGCCTGTGGCTGTGCACCTCCTCCCTCCGCGCAGCTCCCATAATGGCACTGCCAGCGGTCACCAGCTCGGGCGGCTGGCACGTGCGGACTGCTCCAGGGGGGCCCGGGTGTGTCAGAGCAGAGGAGGGTGTCATGAGGAAGGCAGCATGCAGCAGGGGATCTCTGCGACCACCGGCTCCTGCCTCCCTGGCCACTGCTGGAGGGCCGCCACCGAAGCCGTTTTGGAGGGAGACGAGCTCTCAGGCACCCACACGGCAACGCTCCAGAAACGGCGCCTTCCTTCCTTCCCCTTCGCCCCCGCCCCGTGTGGGAGACACAGGGACAGTTTCTTGTCCACCCCTCCGGTAGCCAGCTGGGAGGGTCGGGGAAAGGACAGGAGGCACAGGGACCCAGCAGAGGTGAGAAATCAGGCACTGGGCTGAACCCAGCAGGGGAACCAGAGAAGGGCCAAGCCCCCTCCACCTGTCGTCCTGTCCCTCAAAGCACTGATGATCTAGGCGGAAACGGGGGCAGCAAAAAGAGGCTGGTGAGGAGTGTGGGCCTGGACCAGAGAGGAGGTAGTGCGCCAGCCTGAGACCGCCCCAGCTCACACCGCAGCCACTCCTGGAGGGCCCAGGGCTTCGGGGACCCCGAAAGTGGCCTCAGTCCAACAGATTCCCAGCAGCCCGCAGTGAGAGTAAAGGAAGGGGCTCAGAGCTGGCAATGAGGAGACCAGCTGGGTGACCTTGGGCTTGTCACCACCTACTGAAGCCTCTGCTGCAAGATGGAGCCGCAGCTCAGTTTTGCCCCCCTTAGAGGGAGGAGCTCATGGATAAACAGGGCCTGGGAAAGCCGAAGGTGCCCACGATTACAGGGCAGTGCGAACTCCCTGGTGGGGCCTGCGGGGGGGTCGGCTCCTGGCAGTGAAGGGCTGAGCAGTTCTCAGGACGAACAGGACCTCAGGCTGCCCGCCGCGACATGCTGCCTATCTGCTCTGACGTGGCCTCCCCGAGCCCTCCTGGTCATTCTGGCACCCGAGAGGCTGGCTTCGGTGCCACCAGCCCTTTCCCAGCCTCCCTCTGAAACAGGTGCAGGGTCACTACTCCGCTTCCCCTGGCAAAATGTCATGATGTGGAGCCAGGTGCCCGCCCCGTGGCAGGCGGTGAGCAGAGGGGGCCGTGGCACGGGGACACCTGCTTGGCCCTGGGGCTGTCTTTAAATAGCACGGCCACCAGCTCAGCCTAACTACGCCTCCTCAACCCTGCACAGCATGGCCCTGATTCACAGGCAAAAGCTGCCAGCCCCCAAAGCCAGCATCTGTGGGGGCCTCTGCCGCTGAGGCGTGTGAGCCCTGGACGGGTACTGGGGGGCAGGGGGGGGGCACGAGCAAGGCCTCGGGCCTTGTGAACACAGAGCAGTGATGCCTCTGGCCTCCCGAAGCTCACCCCATCTCCCCCTAACCAACAGGAGGGCGGGCCCTCGGGTCCGACACTCTGGCCGGTCACACACAGGTTGGCTCCCCGCTGCCTCGCCAGATGGCAGGCCCACCGCTGCGAGGGCCAAGCTGCGGCCGGCAGAGACCACAGCGCCAGGGCCAAGCTACCAGGGGTGCTCAAGGCTAAGTGCCCACAGGAGGGACGGAGAGCCAGCCTCCACGTGAGAGGCCCTCGGCGCAGAGGTAAGAGGAAGGTCACCCACCCACTGCAGGGAACATGCGGCGAGGTGCTCACTCAGGACAACAACAATCACGGTGGCAGCTACGACTTGGTATTTACCACGTGCCAGGCACTGTGTTTAACTGGCTTTAATCCTCGCGATGCCTTGCAAGGGAGATGTAACTCTCCCTCCCGTTTCACAGACGTGAGAATTGGGACTCAAAGTCACGTGACCGAGTCTACGCAGCAAGTAAGAGGGAGCACCAGGGTTCAGTTCCAGGCTGTCTGACTCCGGAGAGGGGCAAGGGGCGGGGGACGGGAGTGACACAACCGGTCCAGGCCACAGCCCTCCTCACCCGCCCCCTCACGGCAGCCCGACCCCCCCCATGCCCCTCCTCTGGCCTGGCGGAAGGACTCTGCCCAGCAGCCTTTGTGATCCTGCGGCGGCCACTGGGCCTTTGTCTGCGAGGTGCATCTCTCCAGCTGCTCCCAGGACTTAGTTATGGGCCATTCCTTCCCAAGGCGCAGCCCATCACCTGGGTGAGCTTACAAGTAGCTGCACGAGCCTGGGCCCTTGTGACAGTGCATGGAGGCACCCTAACAGTCACAGCGGGACACAGGTGCCCACCAGGGCTGTCACGGCCACCATCACCACCCCAGGAGGACTAGCACCAAAGGCGAGTGGAGAAGGGGGCCGCGAGTGTCTGCACACGCCCAAAATAGCTCCTCTTCAGAACCAGCCGAAGTTGTAGCCACACCTCCTTCAATTAGGCAGGGGTTTGCAAAGAGGGCTCTGTGACAGAGTACCTTTAGGGACAGCCTGGGACAAGAAAATGGCAAAGGCGAGACCAATGCACATGCCTCTGCGCTCTCCTTCCTTCCTTCAGTGCCATCACCTCCAGCTCTTGCTGGCCACCTGGTTCTGGCTGCATTTACACAGAAGGTTCCGCGTCTAAAGCGAGGGCAGACAGTCCCCAGTCTAAGCGCTGTCTGCAGACGCCCTGCTGAGCAAGCGCCCCTTCTCAGACAGCCCGTGCATCTGGGCAGCAGGGCGGGCGGTCGAGGGAGGCAGCCCGGGGACACCGGGGCCGCTGAGCTAAAGTGTCTAACAGACATCACGCATGCACACACCGAGGTACAAGGCTGCACCACTGGACACAGCACATGGCTTTGGCCAAACAGATGTCATTCCTAGCCATCTTGTGCTCAGCGGAGCCGCTGATTAACGCTTAGCATATATGTCCTCAAATCATGCCTGCGAAAGAAGAAACAGGTAATAACTCTGGTGTATTTGGAGAATAAAAATCTTTCAAAATAGGGGCCCCTGTGGTCTTCTGATGTTGGGGGAAAATGCTCAGAAGTCCCCGCATTAGTAGAGCAGCCCATCAGATTGGGGAGCCGTCACGCCGCAGAGGACAGAACGGCCCAGGAGGGATCAGGAACACGAGGGGGAGCACAGCAGGCGCCAGGGCGAGAAAGGTCCAGAGTGCACAGAACTGCCCAGAGAAACGCAGGCGTCATAAAAAGTGTGAGTGAGTGTGGTTACGAAAGAGAGAGCGATCACATGTGGGGGGAACGCGCATTCATGCGCGAGTGTGAGAGTGTGCTCCTGAGAATGTGTGGTGTGCGTGTGTGGTCGGGGGGGCACGCACACGTGCACAAGAAAAAATGGGGTCCGAGACGTGTGGTAGAGCAGCCCATCAGATTGGGGAGCCGTCACGCCGCAGAGGACAGAACGGCCCAGGAGGGATCAGGAACACGAGGGGGAGCACAGCAGGCGCCAGGGCGAGAAAGGTCCAGAGTGCACAGAACTGCCCAGAGAAACGCAGGCGTCATAAAAAGTGTGAGTGAGTGTGGTTACGAAAGAGAGAGCGATTACATGTGGGGGGAACGCGCATTCATGCGCGAGTGTGAGTGTACTCCTGAGAATGTGTGGTGTGCGTGTGTGGTCGGGGGGGCACACGCACACGTGCACAAGAAAATGGGGTCCGAGACGTGTGCATGAGACGGCGAACAGTGGGAGACTGGGCGTGGACAAGTGTGGTCATGAGAACGCGCGTGTGTACCATCACGAGTGAACACGGTGGTCTTACAAGCATCTGGGGGTCATGGAATCACATATGCCTCTAAGAATCACATATGCCTCCAAGCGCCATGGGGCTTATGCAGTGTGCATGACCACGGAAGATGTAAGCGCACGTGTGGCCTTGACGCCGGGCGAGAACGCGGGAGAAGGAAGGATGGGGATGATAGCGAAGAACTGAAAATCCTACTTGTTCCAGACACTCTGCACCAAACAAGGGCCAGAAACTTGGGTGCTCCCCCAGGCCTAGTGCAACCCGAGGTCAAGGAGCTGGGCCTGGCCACCTTTCCGCTTACCGCCACCAGCAGAGCCTCGATGCAGCGGCACCACGGAGCCCAGGGCTCCATGTGACAGCGGCAGGCACCCCCAGGATCTCGCAGAGCAGAACGTCCACTACTTGGGGAGCAGCCCCTGGCCCAGCCCCACCCCCAGGCCCTCCACTCACAGCACCTCTCCTCTGACCCTCCAGAGACCTCTGCAGCACCTGTGAGACACATCCAGCGCTCAGCTCATCCCTGCCCCTACCAGGATGGACTCCTGCTTGGAAGGGCTCTGGAGGCCCTGCATGCCCACCCCCACGCGACACGTCACTGTCCTTCAGGGAGCAGGAACTCAGCACCACCTGAGGGAGCCCTCACTGTCCTAAGGAAGCTGTTTCTTAAAGTGAATAGAAACCTATCTCCCCCTTGAAATGACAGTTATCTGAAGACACTGGCCATGACATTATATCACACATGCGGCTACCAGAATTCCACTCTGCCAACTGGGCAAAAGAAGCAATAAAGGCCTCTAAGTGCAAACCAGCTATTCCTTCTGACAGGTAACTATGAAATTATACTGTACATAATTACTTTTTAAAATCGTGGTATACATTATATATTTATGTAACTGCTATATAACGTATACTGTATCTGTTCAGAGTTCTAAACCTAAACCCACATACCATGCTTCACGGGAGATTTAGGAATGTTCCCTACTCCACTGCCCACAGAATCTGATTCCCCACTGAGAGGGAACACCACTGCACAGGGCCCCCAGGGGCCCCTCTGCTCCAGGTGAAATAGTCCTGGGTGCAGGGAGACCCTGCCTCATTGAGCCCAGGGGACCAGAAGACAGACCTCAATTCAACCCACCGCTTCCTTACGCAGCTGACTGCCGGGAGTCCAGGACCGCGCTAGGAATTGTGAAGGAAATAAAAGGCACATGACAGGAATCTCCACCCTCAAGAAGCGCACAGTCTCCCTGAGCTAACACAGATACAGCGTAGCAGCACGCGACCAGACGCCTAGCCTCTGGCACAGCCTGCGCACCACTAGGAGTCTGACCAGTTAAACTGGCCAGAACGAAGCAGCCCCTGCTCCGTGCCAGAGCTGACCTCGCCAGGGGGACAGAAGACACCTGAGGACGGTGGGGGCTGCAGCATGCAGTGCTGAGAACAGAACGATGAGCACTGTGTGACTGAGGAGTCCTCAGGCTCTCTCTGCTGGGGCCTCCAGTCATACCGGCCCAGCTCAGGGCTCCCACCCACTGCTGGTTCCCCTAGCGGCCCTGCCCCAGGACGTTCTCAGGCCCCAGAGGCCCTCTCAGCACAGCGAAGGCTGAGGGGGCGCCCGCGGCAGTCCCTTCGGCCTTTCTCCAGTGCCGAGGCCCCTCCGAATACTTCCTACTGTGATGGCCTCACAAAGGGCCACGTTCCTGTGAGCCAGCACCCTATGCTTTCTAGAGCTAATTATAGGTCAGTGAGATAGCGGGCCAGAGGGGCACAGATGGTGACTTCCTGTGGCTGCAGTACACTCTCTCCCCTCCATTCCTCCTAGACTCTGAGACAGCTTTCACTCCCTCCGTCCTCCCTGCCCCATACCGACTCCTTCCCAGCACAGGCCCACACACCACTCCACACCACGTCGTGTTTCCACAGCAACCCATCCAGGGGCCCAGAGCCCCAGGGCAGAGTGTCCCTGGCATAAAAAGGCCTCAGCTGGCTCCCCCATATCCTGAGGTCCTCTTGGCCCCCTGTGCCCCGGACCTGCTGAGCCTGCACCCTGCCTCATGCAACCATAGCCCGACTCCTCGTCCTCTCCCCCAGCTCTCACCCAGTTATCCTCAGAGGCTCTGAAAGGACCTCAGCAATTCCTGACAACTCTTCCCACCTCTAAGATTTCAGTGACCACCTCAGGGAGGCACCTGCCCTGCCCCTCCAACCCCTCAGTACCCAGGTGCCAGGCCACACACACCGCACGGCTCGGACATCACGACGTGCTCGGCAGCACGTGCCCACACAGCACTCTGGGTGCGATTTCCCTTCTGACCCTGCTCCCAGAGCCCAAGTCTGCCGCGGGTTCCAGTACATTCTTGCCCCCTAAAACCACTGTGCTATTGATTTGAGATACCATTCAACCTAGGCAGCCTCCTCAGACCTCAAGACAAAGTCCTAGAACATAGCCAGGGGAAATCAGTCAAACTGCTCCTTTTGCTGAGGCAGCTTCCCCTGGGACCACTGGGCTGTTAGCAGTGATGGGGTGGGTGGGATGGAAACCGGTTCAGACGCCCCAGCTTTGTCTAATCCCACAGCAACGTAACGAAACGGGAGGGGGGTGTCAGCAGAGTGCCCATGTAGTGGTGTGCACTTTCGACATTCCCATCGCCCCAAATTGCCTTCAGAAGACCCAGCACCCAGCACAGCGTCTGGCACACAGTGGGTACCCAGCAAACGCCTACGGCATGCCGAACAAAGTACCAGGGACCGGTTCCCGCACCTCTGTGAAGACTGAGGGGAGTCCCCGAGCCCTGGCTTCTGCAAGAGGGAGTCTTCACGGGAGCAGAGACCCCTTAACACCTGCTCGTGGTGTAAATGGCAGAGCCGCAGCCCCAACTCCCTGCCCCTCTCATGGACACCGCCAGCATGCCTGTCTCCAAAGGTGACATCAGCACCTAGTGGCACTTGTTCTCCGCCCCTCCTCCTTCTCCAAGAAAAGCACCCACACTGCGTTTCCGAGTGCGATCCAACCTCTCTCTTCCCAGCCGCCACCAAGGGCTGCCGGACGCACACTGGGAGACACCTGCGTGCTGCAAACCAGCGCCCACTCTCACCCTACCAGCTCAGGAACCGCTATTCCTGCCCTCTTTTCCACTTGCACCCACCCTCGCCCCCCACCTCAACGGCCGCAGGCTGGTACTGCGCAGACAGGCATCTCCGGCACAGCCCGCATCTGACAGCTGGAGGATGGAGAGCTAGAGACATTAAGAAGGGGTGTTGTGAGCGACGCAGGATGAAAATCCACCCCCTCGAGGGAAGCACCAAGGCCTCAGCACCTCTTGTGCCCCTCGGAGCGGAAGTGGCCCAGGAGCTAGAAGGCGCTTCTTCTCGGAATCTCCTGGGGGTGGAGGACGCAGACCGTCCAGTTTCCGCCAGAATCCTGCCAGCTCAGCCACCCTCCTCCGAGGCAGACGGATGAGTGCAAACTCCATGCCACCCCCGCAAATCCGGCACCGCCTCCGTGCTCACCCCAAGGGCACAGGGCTGCCAAGGCCGGTGAGGGGCGGCAGAAGGGCAGCATCTACGCCTGCAGCGTGAAGAGGGTCTGCTGCCCGAGGCGCACCAGGAGGCTCCCCGAACTACGCTAAAGCTGGAGGTGGGAAGTCCTCCTCCCCCAGCCCAGGCTCTGGACGCTCACCTGACAACAGTCCTCGAACAGGGCAGCTCGACTCGGAGGCCGCAGCAGCCAGGAGCCGCGGCGACCGCGGAGGCCCTACGCGTCGGGAGCCGGAC